ACTCAAGGCAAACTCTTAGCTGTGAGCCCCTATAAAAATCAACAAGAAAGTTAGAAGCTCCCAACCTAAATAAGCATTCCCATTCCCAAAGGGAAGAATAAGGGAAAAGAATGGAATGGGGCCAAAGCCAAATCAGCACCCAACAGGGCAACCATGAAACCCTGTAGTGACATCCTCAGCACCGAGGCCAGCTTGTGGTGAGTTCCCAAGGACTTGAAATGCCCCATAGCTTTGCCAAATGCAGCCTACACAGTCTCTTTCTTGAGCTGGCTTTTCCCAGCAGACTTTCTACATTCCTTGCGTCTCGCTGTTCTGCAATCTTCACTGCACTTTAGACTTCACTGGCATAGTCTCATGCACTTTCTCTCAGGGACATTCTGCTTGGCTTCTAGACCTTCTTCAGAAACCCGGGTGGAAGTTTCCATGATCTCATAAACCTTCAGTCTGCATTCCTGAAAAACCAGCACTATGTAGACCCACCAAGGTCTGCCATCAGCTCAACCAGTAGCCAGGCTCCTTCAGATCATCACTGTAGGGCATTCTGATCCTGGATATCTTAGCACTGTAAAATGAATCCCAAACCTCAGTTCCCTAGGAGCCCTTCTTGGGAAAGTATCCAAAGGACTCTGTTCTCAGTACCATTGGGCCAATGATGGATGTGGTCTTACTGATTCCTAAAATATCCTTAAAGCAGATTCCCTTTCATCCCTGTACAAAGTACGTGACTTGTTAATGCTTTGCTCCAACTTTGCAGGTACATTCTTTCCAAAGAAACTGAAAACATTTCAAATTATTCAGTTCTGTTATTTGTTCCTGAATCTTACTGTAGATTTGGTTAAAAATAATCATAGGTACCCAAGCCACAGCTTGAGCACTGGGTGACCTTAAAATTTCCTCTGACACATTAATTAGTCTGCCATTCTCAGTCTCTCACACAGTCTCAGGACATAGGCAAAATGTAGACAACTTTTCTGCAGAGAAAACACACAGGGATTCTAGTCCAATGGTCTTTGTTCCCAGTTGAAATCTTTTGATCCGGGCTCTCCTGTTTGCTTTTTTAAAGTTTTCTCATCTTCTAAGCTCCATCCAGTATTGCATATCTAACACTGTTTATTCTGTTTACAGCAATCTAGGGCTTCTCTAGTGGGCACCTCCAAGCCTTTCTAAACTCCTCCTGCAAACCATTTCCAAAACCTTCTAAAACACATAGTCAGCTGTGGTCACAGCAATGGCCCCACTGCTGGTAACAAATTCCTATATTAATAAGCTTTCCTGCTACTACACTTACTTATTCAGTTAGCAAACAATTACTTGCCATCTATGATATGCCAAGTTTTGTTTTAAGCACTTGGAATTCAATAAATAAAGATTTCTACCCTCATGGCGCTTAAATTTGAACTGGCTCTGTGAAAGTAGGCTGGAGAAGGTTGATGGAAGAAATGTTCACTGACAGTGGAAAATAAATCACTCAGTCTGAATTCTTAAAAATTTCCTAAGATTACAGCTCCAAAACATGTGTTTCATCATGGCACTCCTTTTTCCTAAATGAACTTTAAGAGGCAAGTTCCCTGGTCTGAGTAATAAAAAACAGACAACATACACTGTACCATAGCCCACAGCCCAGCTCCTTTTCCAGCCATGCCTCGTGCCCCCTGTTCCTCCAGCACATCAGTCAGAGCAGTAGTTAAATGTGGACAGTAGCTATTCTGGAAATAATGCTACTGAAGAGTCTTGGACGTTTAATTTTTGCCCATTATTTTTTCTGTTGTAGTCATGCATCTACATCAAATGATGTTCTGGATTGTTTCAATGCCATTCCAGCAGATCTGAAATTAATGGTCTTGAGTCACATGGCACAGGGGCCTATGCCCATAATCTCATCACCCCGAGAGGCTGAGACAGAAGGATCACAATTTGAGCCCAACCTGGGCACTGAGTGATAGTGAGACCTTGTCACAAAATAAAAATGATTAAAAGTGGGGTAAGGATGTAACTATGCCAAAGCCCTAAGTTCAGTCTCTACTACAACACAAAATGTCTTACAATCTTAAACATGTTGGCATTAGTGCCAGTAACTGCTTCTTGGAAGCCCTTTGAATCATCGTATCATAACTACCAATATTGACCAAAGGCTGGTTTTTAGTATAATAAAAATAAGGTTGAATGCTCTGGCCCTTTACCTGAGTCAGGGAGATGGAATTCAGAAGGACCACTTGAAGCTGGGCTTGGCACACATGTCTAACACACACTATAATCCCAGTTCCTTGAGAGGCTGAGGGGAGAGAAGCACTTAAGCTCAGGAGCTGAAGACCAACCAAGGTAATAGAACAAGACCCCATCACAAAACCAAAGGGATGATTTCTTGGAAATGAATCGTAAAATGCACTCTGATATGCTTCTAGCACATTCTGTTCTGGAGATACATGAGTATCTCTAGATATTTCTACACTTCTAGAGACACATGAGTATCTCTGTGAGCAAAGGAATAAAAATCCTATTAGTTTTCCCCCACTAAAAGGCTAACTAGAATGTCACTAGAGATGCTAACTAAGACAAATGCTATCCAGTGAGTTGATAGGTGTCAGGACACCTAGAGGCCAGGACGTACAGAACTGTGGGGCCTCAGAGTTAGAAAGACACCAGGCATGGACCAGAGTCCATCTCCGGTCAGAGCAGGGGTCCCTTCTACATTGGTCTTAATCAATTCCCTGTAGCTTAATCAATTCCCTATAGTACCCAGCAATCACAACCTGAAGGGTGAGAAGTTGAACCTGGTTTTCTGTTCAATCCACAGTTAGCCTCCTGGGAGGGGAACCAGAAGATGGAGGACACAGTCAAAAGAGTGAGTTAACGATCCCCTTGATAAGTGTGATCGTTATGTACTGCACACACACTACTAATAATAATGTTTTCAAAAGAAATAATGGAAAAAGGCCTAGTCATGGCAGAAGGGCCAGGCAGAGAAGAGCTGTTGAATCCAAGGAAGCGGAGAGCAAAGGAAGGAGCTGGGGAGGGAGGTGCCCCTCCGAAGGCCGCCCCTGGGTCTTGTCTCTTCCAACCAGGCCTGTTTAGCTATGAACTCATGCCTGGATCAAGACTCTAAAGAGTACAGTACGCACGACCAGCCACCTTCCCAAAACCCCACCTCTGAACACATGGGTTTTGGGGGACAGCCTAGATCTAAGGCAGAACACAGCCCAGCTGCCTACAGCTTCTCACTTTCACCTTTGCAATCACGGGGAACCAGCCCACTCACAAAGCTCCCACCTTCATGGTTAGACCCAGAAGTTACCAGTTTTTCTGCCTTATTTTTAATTTTTTTCCTAGGTCATCTACTCATTTGGATCTAATTCTTGACATCTTAGACTGTAAAAGTGCTAACTGTGTCCTCTAGTCCTTGAGCGACCCACTCTCAGCAGTCTGGCTTCGTGTCCCCCACATGCTCCCTTTGTCTTTGGTTTCCTTCATTCTCAGTACTCACAGCTTGGGAAGCGTCTTCACACCAGCACCTTCCTCAGGATGCAGAAAAATTTGCCGATGTGCCAAGGCCATGAAGCAATGCTTTGCATATCATTTGACTGATAAAGAATAATTAATTTCCACGACCTAGTTTTCCACTGTTACACCTGATTTTGTCCTATTAACATTATAATAGCCTTTTCACAGACTTGATGCCTGTTCAAACTTTGTGGTGAGCTCCCGTGAGTCATGTGCCATGTGCAGGCTGACAGGGCAGAGCCATACGACAGCCCTCTCCTATAAGTCGGCACCATTCATAGACTGCAAGAGAGGTGAACAAGAAGTAAAGAAGAAGTTAAGACCTCCAAGTCTGCGTCATGTGCAGGCTGACTGGGGGAGAGCCACACACGAGCCCCTTTCCATGCCTGAGCAAGGAGATAAGAAGCCAGCGTCCCCCACCCCCACCCATAAGCGACCAGTTGATCCAGAGAAGCACAGGCTGGGATGAAAGCTACTAGTAAAAATACAAGTTAAGGCTTGTAATGTACAGTGTTTCACTGACTTTGCAGGCCTAAAGCCGGTAGTCTGATCATCTATTCAGAGGATAACAATATACAATGTAACATCTATGGAGAATCCCTTTCTGACAATGGTGGTCTTTGTTAATAATCTGTTATCTTGTTTTGAAATCGTATATCAATCTCATTGTTTTGTTTGGTTGAATTTTATTCTGTTTTTATCTTGTTTGATCTCATTATATCTGATGGCATGGGCAGCTGTAACAAGATATATTATGGTAGCCATTTTGGATTTACTACGATTTTGTTTTGAAGTCCTGTATTGCATTCATTTTTATCTTTTTATTAGTTCTATTGTGCTCTGTTTTGTTTTATTTTACTATATCTCAAGGTATGGGCAGCTATTTTGAAGACAACAAGAGGCATTATAGTAGCCACTGTTGATTTTCTATTATCTGGTTTTGAAATCCTGTGTCACACTGTCTTGTTTTGATTGGCTTTGTTTGTTTTTATTTTACTTTGTTTTATTCTCTTTAAAATAAAATAAAATTTTAAAAAGCTTGTGGCACATTGCGAGCCCAGATTCACTATCCCCAGTCCCCATGTTTGCACAATGCGTGTTTTCTCAGCCCCACTGTGGACCCCTGAATAATCAGATTTGACACAAACCTGCTTCATCAGCCAGAGAAAGTCCAGCCACACTGGTGCCCTGCTGAAAGCATCACCTTGGGGACACACAGCCTCCTCTCCAGAGCAGACTATTTATAACCAGATCTTCCCCAGGACCCTGTGACAGGGCTGATTACCTTTCTAGAAACTAATCTCTATCCACAACCTCCTCTTCTCACTCTACCCAAATCTACTTTCCATAATCCAACACCCACCTAGCTAATTTCTTCACACCAAGGCTGACTAAGCTCTTGATCTTGATTTTAAAAAAAAGAAAAAATAAGCACCAAGTCAAGAAACCCGAGCCCTCTGGGCAGCAGGAGCCCCGCCCTCTGCCCCTGCTGAGCACTAAAGAAAAGGCCAAAGAGGGACTGAGAGCTCAGGCTGCCGCCTGCAGAACCCAGGGTCATTCTAAAATTGCACCACTGCTGCTGTCAGGTGGTTGCTGGTGAATCCCCACCGATCCTCCTTCTCCCGGCCTCTGCCTCTCCACAGATCACCTTCCCAAGGGGAGCCTGCAGCTAAAACTTCACCTTTGCCAGCCGGGCACCCACCTCACAGGAGGGAAGGAGCTGGGACCCCATCGCCACCTCCTGTCTTCTGGATCCTGGGGTGTGTATGGCTGCGGGGTGGGAACTGTATGGGCTGTGCGTGTTTGAGGTTTAGAGCCGATTTCCAGAAGGGATCTCCAGCTGGGTCGGACTGTCCCTGATATGAAGTTCGGAGGCAGAAAACGTTTGCTTAGAATTTGGGAAATGATAAATTAGCAGACTGAGCCAGTAAGAGAAATGCATGAGTGACGCTCTAAGGAAGTAAAATTACTTGTGACTTTGAATGATAATTTTAAATCTCTAAAAAGCTTCCAAGGTATGCATTCCCCCTCCCACTATTTTACAGAGCAGAAGAAGAGCAAACTCTTGAGCTTTGCTCACAAAGTTTAGAATTCCTTTTTTTAAAATCAGGAAGTATTGAGTACCTGTTCAGTTTAGATAAACGTTACCTATTTCAACTAAATTCATAGTGCGAAAATTAGACAATCGTTTGGACTCCCAGAAATATAACTGATTAACAAAGCAGAACCCTGTGCAGGTACCCCAAATGTGTTATTCGATTTAAAAATGGGTTTTTGTTTTAATGTGCACATAGGTCCATAGCAACATATGTTTTGTAGTAAAAATCATGTTGGAATAAAAGGCAACATGGAAAGTCCCCCTTCGGTCGGCCTTAACTTAAAATGTCAAGTGCTGTGGCCAGGCTGTTTCTATTCCGGGAAGCAGCGCTGACAAGAGCTGACAGATGCGAGCCCGGAATGTGGCAGAGATGGGGCAGGCACAGCTGACCTGCACCCTCGGCAAGAAGACACCCTAGGATCCCAGTTCCCTGCAACAGTAATGGTGACGCTTCAGCCACGAGGCTTTTTAGCTTGCCCATGGACAGCGTCTCCCAGGAGACAAGGGTGGAGGTGACAGGCCGAAGCGTGTCCTTAGATGTAAGGTGACAGCCCGTTCTGTCCCTCGCTCTAGAAGCTTTCATCAGGGACTGGTTTTGGACCAGGAACACACACCTACAGGCGAGGGTACAAGTATGCTAGTTTCTCGGCAACATGATTCTTGGTCCAGGGGGTGTTTCTGTTTGGACTGTGGCCCTCTTTGCAAACCTCCTGAAAGAAGTTCTGAGCCACTCTACATGCAAGTACCCATAAAGTCACAGGTGAAGCATGTTCCAGAGTATTTGGGCGGTTCATGGAGCCTCCTGAAACCCAGCCCAGGGTAGGGTTGCCAGACAAAATAGAGTTAAGCCAGCACTTCCCAGGATGCACTTACTGCACATATGATTTATGGCTCTTCTCAAATTCAAGTTTAACTGAACGCCTTGAGTTCTGAGTAGCTGAATCTGGCCATCCAGACCCAGACACAGAGACCCCAAGTAAAAAGCACTGTCTCAGTGGGATCATTCCTCTCTGATTTTGTGTCGACTCAAGGGCTGTGGAAACACGTGCTGTCCACTGAGTGGCACCTCCAGCTCCTAGCATGGTTCCTAACTGTACCATTTAAAACCTAAAGGGATACATTTCCTTATTTGGCAGTTGATTAAGCTGAAAGCCTAAAAGATTGGGTATTTTGCCCCTGGTCTAGCAAATTATTTGAGCAAAATGCATACAAAACCTCGTTTTCAGTCTACATGACTGAGGAGACACGAGTCTTAAAAACTTGATTTCAACCCTTTGTCTCCTTTGACAAACATAATAATTAATTGTTTTGGCACCAAAAAAGGGTAATTTCTCCCTGGAGCTAACACTCACAAGGAAGTACATGATTATCTTAACACATTCATGTAGGCCTTCCTTGAGCCTGACTGAATCTATTAAAATGTCACACCCTCACTACCCTGAATAAGAGAGAGACATTTGCAAGTTTTATAGGTTCTCCAAGTTTATTTTACATTAAAAAAGGCAAGTCTTGTTTCCGTTTAAGAAATAATCACTTTGTGATCTCCACATGCAAAATTTGGCTTCATGAACCTCAGTTCCACCTCGCTCTCCCTCTGTTTCTCTTATGGTGGAAAAAGCTGACTTTCAATCTGCCACAGATCTGACCAGTCCCCACACGCAAGGGAGGGGAGACAAGGGTTCCCTCTGGGCTCACACCATGCTCTGGCATCCTGCTCCTCCACCCTAACTTGGGTGACCTTGAACAAGCTTTTCTTTATTCTTTCTCAGTCTTAGTTTCTTCATTTGTTAAATGAACACAGTAGAACCTGCCCTTTAGGACTGGTATTTAAATTTTAAAGATGACTGATGTAAATAAAAGTGTCTAAGCCAGAAATCAGCACACAGGAACCCCTCCACTGATAAATCCTACCTAGATAATTACTATTTTAGGCAGAAATGGAGATGTTGGTTTATCTTTAATACATATGCATGCTTGGCTATGTTTATTTATGAATTTATTATTAATAGACTTAAGCCTGACAATTACAAAGATGATGTAGCATGTAATGCTTGTACAACCCTGCCCAGCTGCTCATGAGGGGCCGCATAGTTGATACCATCGCCACGAAAGGGCCTGAGACCCAGGCTCACCGAGGGGCAGGGGGAAGGAGCACAGGATTCTCCCTCCCAATCCTAATGGGTACCTCTGGCTGGGTGGCTGTGACTGGAGCAAAGAGGAGAGGCTGTGACATCTATGACCCAGTAGGGACACTCTCTGTGCTCCCTGCACAGAATGGAATTGCAGGAGGGGAGAAACCCTTCCACAACCTTCCACAGCCTGTGCAAAGTCTCTACTTTGATCCAAGAAAGGAAGGGATGGAAAGTGCCTGGCAGTGCCTCCAAATAGCCGCTCATTACACCACCTCGGCGGTTCTGGGGAGACCTGCTTCTCTTCCAGCACCCCTTCTGTGGGAGAGCCGTGTGGAAAGCTTGAGGCAGCAGTGGTCCTAAGAGGAGTTGTGAGGCCCTTCCTCTTTGATCACATAGGGGATCATCAATGATCCGGTGGGAGAGAAGAGTCAAGCCTATTGTGGTTCGGTGGAAGTGAAAGCAGTCTTAAGGCTCCCCCATCCATGGGCAGCTCAACAGGGACGCACTCCTCACCGTCCAGACTGTGACCTCCCCAGAGCAGGGAGAGCCCGATGACTATCTGGTCACTAAGTTCTTGGGCAGCCCTGACTCACTGATCGCACAACATTCACTTGGAGTATAGGGAAAAAACAGTCAGTAAAACCCTCATCCAACTTTCCATGAAATAAAAGTCAGACCAAAATAATAAGGTGCTTCCAAAATCTATTGCCCATGAGGCTGAGCCAGAGGATCACAAGTTTTTAGACAACTTCAACCTGTTTCAAAATTAAAATAATAATAATAAAAGGACTGGGATGTAGCTCAGTGCAAAGGCCCTGGATTCAGTCCTAGTACTAAAAAAAACAAAAACAAAAACCAGTGACTCCAATTCCCAGGCTCCTCTGCAGAAGCCGTGGTATTTTAAACGGAATAAGGTAGCACAGGATGAGGATACCTGGACAGGTAGACAGCCTCACCTGATACATGCGTCCCCAGGCCCAGGATGTTAGGACAGCTCTGTAAACAAAGACCAAATTTACTTCTTGAATTTATCTAGGAAAATAGGCCACCAAGAAATTATCAGTAGACTCCGATTCCAATAGCCCCTTAACTGTCTCTTACCTGTTTTTCTCCTCTTCCTTTCTTGGAGGGAGCTAAAGAATCCAGGTATCTCTGCAAAGTGATTTTGTGGGCTCCAGAGAAAGGGCTACTCTATTTGAAATATATATGTGTGTGACAGAATGACAGTGATCTCAAAAATCAAAACAGCAACAAAAAGTATGCGTAGGTCGGAGGTAGAGAGAATCTGCCCATTAGCGGATCAGCTCAGATTATTCATCAGACTTGCTACCGTGTCACCCAGTCCGGCTCTGCAGAGATGGGCAAGAAGCTTTAGATCAAGAGAGGGCCATGGAAGTTTGCAGGTGTGCAGCAGTACAGGGTCAGGGCCACAGAGGAAACCGAGGCAGGGCAAAGGCGGACGTGAAGGAAAGCAGAGTGGTCAGCAGCAAATAGAGAAAGGAGACGGAGGAAGAGCGCGAATGGGTCCCTTGTGGTGTCCAGCCTCAGGTGCCCTCTCCTCTCCTAGGGACTTCTTAATCCTTCTCAGAGAATACCAGCTTATCAATCCAGCCCCTTCTTACATGTTTCTACTGAACATTAGCTCCCTGATGAACTCATGTACTCTGTTTTCCTGACTGATAACCAAATGTCCCAAGTTTTCTAAATTACCATTCATACAAAAATTTAAAATGCTCTGTTCCAAATCCCTTAGAAGCATTTCATGCTCGGATGCTGTGGGGCGGTTTGCACTCCAGGTTACCGTGTGTTTCTGTCCAGGGTTACACCCTGTTCCTTCTCCGTGATGCAGCGGCTTTTCGTTCACTTTGCATTTTGAAGTTGCTCCAGGATACTGTCGTCTCACACGATAGGCATCAACCACGAGACACGTGGCTGCTGAACGCTTGCCATGGAACTGACACAGTCTAAGGTGCAGTGTGAGTCTACCTACACCTGCATTTGGAAGATTTATGAAGAAAAGAGTGATATCACATTGGTAATTTTATACCAATTGCATGTAGAAATGAGACTATGTGGCTGAATATATAGCTAAAATTAATGTACCTTCTCCTTTTTCACTTTCTAATGCAGGAAACAAAATTTTAGATTGTGTACATTGCTCTTGTTATATTTCTATATGACAGTGTTATGTGAAACTGTCAGAGACAAGCACCCAAACTACAACCTGAATCCCACCTGTTTACCACAAAGTACAACAATTAAACCTGAACACTAAGGTTTTAGTTTAGAAAAACAAATCAAACGTTAATATCTTTTGTCTTAAAAGAAAAACAGCAACACACATGTGCCATGGATTCACCACCCCTGCTCTAGACATTGCGGTACTTAAGGTTAAATTCTCACAGGCTGTGTGACCTAGCTGGGTACCAACACAGAAGCTGAGCTGGTGACGTAGCGCAGTGATGTCCCATCTGGGTAGCTTGCACTAGGTCCCGCTTTGAGTCAGCACACACAAAAAGAATGAAATGGAAACCATGCAACTGCTTAGGTCCTTTTCCCTCTGTCACCCTACTCTCTGTGCTGCAACTGGCTGGTGCTACGTCTACATGCAAGATAAATGTGACAAGATAATGCTGTCAGTTTTGCTTTGAAGAGCCCCATTTATTATAAAGAACTTTAGGGCAAAAAGAGTTGTTTTTTAAATCCCTCCATCCACTCACCATCTCTGATATTCTCAGGGTCAGGTTTCTTTTGGTTTCCCACTGACTACGCCGTTCCACAGCCCAGCTCCATTTCCAGGAACACAGGATCACGAACGCTATCCCCTAATCTTAAACCAGAAATATCTGCCATTGAAGCTTTAGTAATTGCAGCCCGTCCATAGGCCAAAAGCTACAACACGGCATGCGGAAGTTGGGGTTGGGGCTCCCCTATGCTATTCCCTTTTCCAGTTCCCTACTGAATCAGCTCCTTCTCTGCACTTGCTAGTTCTTATGTCTCCCATCCCAGCTCTCGACTTAGGGTTACCTCAGAGTTGTGGTCTTGAGACGATATCCCTCAAGGAGCGTAAGTCAGCTAGCAGGTATCAAACTGTACTAAGGGTAGCTGAGTGTGCCACAGTTAGGAGTAATTGTGTAAAAAAGGCAGTTTTAGAACTGAAACCAGATGTTACTGCTCCAAGAGTCCACAGGTTCCTGTCTTAAAATGCTGAGAGGTCTCTGTAAATACAAATATTCACGTTATGTAACTGTTAATGTACATACATATTAAACTGTAAATAACCAATCAGCCACTGCCCTGAGCCCCTCTAAATTTCTCCCAACCTTCCATCCCTCTCGTAGGCCATCCTGGCCCAGACTATGATCCACTAACTGAAGGGTTATAGGGACCTCTGGGTCCTGGCACCAGTGCTTGGGCCTGAATCCATTCTAATACTAATCAGTACCCTGCTTTAACAGCTATTCATAGTTGAAATTTCACCTCTACATATCACCAAGGAAACAATCTGTTAATGATGGACAAACAAAATATTAAGTTGTTCATTCCGAAGCACTCTGATGACTTCTGAGGTTCAGAATTCTTCTAAGACCATGAGAGTTAATAAGCCTTATGGCTGAACAAAAAAGTGGCATCTTGGGTTGCGCCAGGAATAGAGACACGAATTTGTCTCTGGAATTTACTCTGCTGTGCTTGCTTATCATTTTGCATATTTCACATCTGTGTCTCCCTGGCAGGAATTACATCTTAAACTGCTCCGTCATTCTCAGCAAACTGCTGTCCACCAGCAATAGTTGTTAGGTGATAACTGTTTGCTAAAGAAAGTACTTTTGTTTCTCGCCCCAAAACACCAGCGAGGGGACACCCAACACAAAAGTCCTGTGCATTTGAACATTAATGTTAGATTTTTTTCATAATTGTTTGCAAAAAGTAATGAGGAAGAAAATATATGCTAGCCTTTTCAAGAAATTCAAAATGTGGCTGTGACAATTTGAGCTGAGAAAGACAAAAGTTCGGATAAGGAAACTAGGCTTTGTTTTCTGCTGCCCGCTGCTGTCTTTCTGCATGGACAAGACAAAGATATGCAAGATATGCACAGCAGGAGGCTGGGCGGTCTCCTGGTGCTCATATTACAGCTCTTACTAGATTTTCATCTTTTAGTTTATCATCGGTTGCATTGGTCTTGTGAGTAAAGCTATCTTCCCATAGTATTTCCTAATTTCACATGGATTCCTAATTTGAGCATTTGAAGAAAACCTTCAGAGTGGTGAAAATTCACTTTTGGATTACAGCAAAGTAGGGCCTTTGAATAATGTTTAATTATCATTCTGTAACTATTGTACAGTTGAATTAGAGATGTTCATTTTCACTGTATCAAAATTACTTGGCCATATACCACTGAGAAATCTCATTTGATCATATAAATCTTTGTAGACTCATCTTCAATCCATAATGCTGCTGTAAAATCTGCCAATAAGATGCATATCCAGTTTAGCATCCTTCAGTCTATCTTTGAAGATTAGTTTACATTATACCATTAAAAACCATCATTTTATAATTGTTCATCTTATGAAAAAATTTCTCATGATGATACTTCCATGTCCAGAACACACTGAACTAAAACCATGCTTTCTTTTCTTCCTTTTCTTTTCAAGCAAGCCCTTGCCCGTAACAGTGTATCTGCCAACATGGCACCCAAAAAGAAGACCGTCAAAAAGAACAAAGCTGATATCAGTGAGATGACTATCATTGTAGAAGACAGCCCCCTCAGCAAACTGAACGCTCTGAATGGGCTCCTGGAGGGAGGTAACGGCCTGAGCTGCCTCTCTTCTGAGCTGACAGATGCCTCCTATGGCCCCAAGCTTCTAGAGGGCCTGAGTAAAATGCGGCAGGAGGGCTTCCTCTGTGACTTAGTCATCGGAACCAAAACCAAATCCTTCGATGTTCACAAGTCAGTGATGGCTTCATGCAGTGAATACTTTCACAACATCCTAAAACAAGATCCATTAACCCGCAGGGTGGATCTCAACGATATCTCCCCGCTAGGCCTGGCCACAGTCATTGCATATGCCTACACAGGCAAGCTGACCCTATCCTTGTATACCATAGGAAGCATCATTTCCACTGCTGTTTATCTTCAGATTCACACACTTGTAAAGATGTGCAGCGATTTTCTGATCCGAGAGATAAGTGTTGAGAACTGTATGTATGTTGTTAACATTGCTGAGACGTATTCCCTGAAAAATGCAAAAGCAGCAGCCCAGAAATTCATCCGGGACAACTTCCTTGAATTTGCGGAATCAGATCACTTTATGAAACTTACATTTGAACAAATTAATGAACTTCTCATAGATGATGATTTACAGTTGCCTTCTGAGATAGTAGCATTCCAGATTGCAATGAAATGGTTGGAATTTGACCAAAAGAGAGTGAAATACGCAGCAGATCTCTTGAGCAATATTCGCTTTGGCACCATCTCTGCACAGGACCTGGTGAACTATGTCCAGTCTGTACCAAGAATGATGCAAGATGCTGACTGTCACAAGCTCCTCGTGGATGCGATGAACTACCATTTACTTCCCTATCATCAGAACACACTGCAGTCGCGGCGAACAAAAATCCGAGGGGGCTGCCGAGTCCTGGTCACTGTTGGAGGACGCCCAGGCCTCACTGAGAAATCTCTGAGTAGAGACATTTTGTACAGAGACCCTGAAAATGGATGGAGCAAGCTTACCGAAATGCCAGCCAAGAGTTTTAACCAGTGCGTGGCTGTGATGGATGGATTTCTTTATGTAGCTGGCGGTGAAGATCAGAATGACGCAAGAAACCAAGCCAAGCACGCAGTCAGCAATTTCTGCAGGTAATTGATCTTTTATAGGGAACTGAAATGGCTCAGTACTAGGGGACAAACTGCCTTGACATAGAAATAAATTAATCATGCCTGTTAGCTTAATGGACTTAGCATATTAAGAATAACTTACATATGTACATCACTTTGTATTGTATAAAGTGCATTCAAATATATCACATACACTAGATTTCCAAAACAAGCCTACAAGATAGGCAGGGAATTATTATATTACATATGAGAAAACTGATACCTAGAGGAGTCCTATGTAGCAATTTACATTTTCGTGTTTTTAATCGGGTGCCCTTGACAGTACACTAACTTCTGAAAGAAACTGGCTACAAATTTAATTTTTAACACTAAGTGATAAGAAAAAATAAAATAATACAATATTTCTTTTAAGTTACTGCTTAAAAGATAACTGTAAGATCCACTATTGGCAAATAGAATTTAATCATTAAAATATGATAGTTAATTTTAAATATTTGAAAAGAAAATAAAAATACAGAATGTCAATATTCTGACATGTGAAGTATGAGGCATAATAAATCCATCAAAATGGAATTCAAAGGCTATATTATTTTAGTATATTTCTGAAAAAATTAAGCTTCCATATATCTGAAATGTTCACAGAGTCATGCTTATATCCTGACAGTTGTACAAATTCGAACAACTAGTGAACAAGTTCTGAAAACTTCTACAGAATTTCATGAAAGGTATTATTATTTCATTATACATGAGTGCACCATTTTTTAAAAAATCCTAACAACCAATCGATTTGTAACTTCAGTGTATAACTGTCGGAAAGGTATTATTTGAGTTAAATGGGAAAAGATGGACATAGACCCGAAGGAGGGAGTTGTGAGCTTACAACATCTCCGGACTCCTAATCAAGAAAGTTCCAGCTTACAGGAGTGCTGATTGTTATCAGGCTGATTTCCTACCAATTACTATTCAAGCCACTGGTATTTTTTCAGTATTGATTTCGGTGCTCGTAAAACTATAGTACTGGCACTGAAAACTGAAACTATAAATTAAAGCCTGCCATCCACTAATAAGTGCTGGACTGCAGGAAGCACCAGATGCGCAGCCTTTGTTGATGCTCTCCAGACGTGCACCCCCTGTCGCTTTTCTTTTGACACGTGACGGATTTGCTCCAGTGGTCTGGCTTGGCTGTGGCACTGGACAGGACAGGTGTGCACCAAGGGGTTTCTGAGAACTGGAACGTAGGCTGCGCCTTGCTTAACTAAGCAGCCACAGTGGGCTAGGGCTGGTTAATGGTTAACGTGAGGAGATGCAGGAATTGACTTCCAGAGATGGGTCCCTCTCTGACCTGTGCTCCTGCCCTCTCCCAGGGCGCACCAGTGCTCAAGGCTGCTGGAGACAGCTCCTGCTTGCAGAAAGAGGGGACTGGGGGCTGAAGGAAATGTCCCGTGGACAGGCGGGGTAGCCTGGCTTGTCCCAAATCTCACGCCTTGCAAGCCATCCCCAAGCAGGCCCAGCTCCCTCGCAGTGCTGGTGACTGAGTCCCCTCCTCTGCCCTTCCAGGTACGACCCCCGCTTCAATACCTGGTTGCACCTGGCCAGCATGACCCAGAAGCGCACGCATTTCAGCCTCAGCGTGTTCGATGGGCTGCTCTACGCTGTGGGCGGCCGCAACGCCGAGGGCAGCCTGGCCTCGCTGGAGTGCTACGTGCCCTCCACGAACCAGTGGCAGCCCAAGGCGGCCCTGGAGGCGGCGCGCTGCTGCCACGCCAGCGCCGTGGCGGGCGGCCGCGTGCTGGTGACCGGCGGCTACGTGGGCGGCGCCTACACGCGCTCCGCGTGCGCCTACGACCCCGCGGCCGACGCGTGGCACGAGCTGCCCGGCCTGAGCACGCCGCGCGGCTGGCACTGCGCCGTGGCGCTGGGCGATAGCGTGTACGTGATGGGCGGCAGCCAGCTGGGGCCGCGGGGCGAGCGCGTGGACGTGCTGGGCGTCGAGTGCTACAGCCCCGCCACGCGGCAGTGGAGCCAGGTGGCGCCGCTGCTGGTGGGCGTGAGCACGGCGGGCGTCTCGCTGCTGCACGGCCGCGCCTACCTGCTGGGCGGCTGGAACGAGGGCGAGAAGAAGTACAAGAAGTGCGTGCAGTGCTTCAGCCCCGAGCTCAACGAGTGGACGGAGGACGACGAGCTGCCCGAGGCCACCGTGGGCGTGTCGTGCTGCACGCTGGCCATGCCCAACAGCGTGACGCGCGAGTCCCGGGCCAGCTCGGTGTCCTCGGTGCCCGTGAGCATCTGACCCGGGCGCGTGCGCCCTCGCCGGCGGGCAGGAGGCGGTGCCGTTTAAATTCTTGGAGTGCATGATCTACCTCCTTTTTTCCTTTTTTCTCCCTTCCCTCCCCCGCCGCTTTCTGTTCCCTGCTTTTCCCGAGCGAAGTAGAGCGCTGCGGCCCATCAGGGAGACGCGTCCTTGAGCGGCCGCCGGGGGGCGCGCGGGATTCGCTGCAGGCGCGAGTCCCCAAAGCCCAGCGGTGACACCCACATTGAGATCTCTCTTCTGATTTTAGGAAGCTTCCGTGAGTAAGCAGTTACTCGTGCTCAAAGGTTTATTCTCCCACGCTTTTTAATTTAGGAGTGTGAAAATACTTTCGGATTATACTTACTTTAAAAGACTGCTGTTCATAAAGACCTAATTCTGTGTTTCAACACAGTTTTCCCTCCTGTACTTCACTGACTAAAGGATTGTGAAAGGCAGCCCCTAAAAGTCCACAAAGTGGGAACTTCGACTGGAAGAGAACGGAGGTTGTGTGGCCACCTCAGAGGTGCTCGGGCTGCAGGATAAAATCTTGTGCTCAGAGAGAGAAGGAACTGATGTTGTCCTTATGATTCATAGCGTAAATTCAATCGTTTTGGTCTTTTCCTCCCAAATGTATTTGCACTCTATCCCCTCGGGGATTTCAGTTGTCCTTAAGGACTGTCACCACAAAGTGGTGTCCAGGTCATACTCATTCTCTTCCCTTTCTAACTAGAAGTCTGACACATCTTTTTCATACAGGAGGACTGAGGTAACGTCCGCTCCTTTTGTGCTGTTAATTTTATTAATCTCATCCACTCCAAACGAGCTTTGCAAATCAAAATGCATCCACAAGCCACCGTATTTCTGTCAGATTTTTCAAGTTTTGGGGAAAAGAGACTCTGGCAGTAAATGAGACATAATTTTCCTTTCTTAGGATTTATCACTTCATTCTTTGATTGCTTGAGAAAGGAAATGGCCTACCAGTAATGGGTTATGTGCGATTGGATTTTAAAAAATAAAAAATATTTAAAGGGTTAAATAAAATGTGTGGGACTATAACTTTTTCATTAACGCCATCCTCTCCCACCTTGTGTAGGGAGGCTATTGCTAGAGGTATATTTGTATCAAAAATAGATTTGGCCCTCCTTATCCAAGATTTCTATGTCTGAAAATTCCAGCAGACTGAAATACATGAAAACAGTTGCGTCTGTACTGTTCAGGGTTCTTTTGTCGTAACTCCCTAAACAACTCTGTGTGAAACTATTTGCACAGCATTTGTGCTGTACCGGGTATCGTAAAGTGTAAAGATGATGTCAAGTACAGGGAGGCTGTGAGGAGGTTATGTGCAAACACGAAGCCATTTTACATAAAGAACATGAGCTTCCGGGAATACTGGAAACCTAGGTAGAGGGTCTAGGCCGGTACCCCAGGGGTACCGAGGGAGGACTGTACTTATTTCCAGCTGTGAAGATAGCTGGTGCAATATGCTTGTCAAATAATTTTATATCACCCCCCTTATGCATATCTCTGGTATTTGGTGATTATACCTCAGGGATAGGCTATAATTACTAAATATTAATTATAATTACTACATATTAAGAAAACGATATTATTGGTGGAAAAGCAGTGGGCTTTTTCTTACTCCACATAGGTGATGTGGAGTTTTGCTCAGCATCGAGCAGCTCTAAAGGAATCTACTCCTTTAATTCTGTATCTGGCCAGGCTGGAAAATGCAGATCTGTAAGAAAGTAGTTTATGGAAAAGTTAAATCACCAAACTCTTAAATTACAAGCAGCACAACCTGTGGATAGCCTCTGCCTTGCAGCAGCGCTGATGAGTAAACTTCATTTGGAAACAGTTATGTTGGACATACGTTGCAAAGCCTATGCCATCGTGACTTGAGTATCTTTCACGCTGCATTCACGCAGCCGAAAGCCTATAGTAAATTGTCAAGAGTTTTGAGAGGAAAAGGTGTTTTATTAAGGGTTACATGTGGGCAACAGACTTACTTCCTTAATGAAGCAAAGATGGGTCTCCCCTGGAGACCTTAAGGTGTTGTGTGAGGAGAGGAACCTAGAGCCCTAAATGAAGTAAGAGTCAATCAGTTGTAACATTTGATGATAGAAAAAGGAGAGACACCAAAACTAAAGGGGTTTTCTGCTGTCAGAGCTTGAGAAGATAAGTTGTGGAAAACTTGGCAGAGGCTTTCTAGACTATAGACCTGTTAGAACTGGGTGAATAATTTGAAACTTGTTCTCTGCCTTGTTGAAATGAAGACTGGGAAAGTACACGTACTGGGCCTCTGGTTTTCCTGGCTGTACTGCTTTTTATGTTCTGCTTTATCAGTTAATGAAGATGGGCACAAACATACACAGAATCAAAACAGTCGGGTGTGAAACAGGTGTATTAATCCTTCTCTTGAGGCAGCTGCTCCTAGAAAACATGACGCGGTCTCTGAGCTTCCCAGCTGAAAAATTGACTTCATTTTTTTGTAGTTTAAGTTTATATCTAGTTGCACTCCCAAGGCTCAGGCCCTAACCATGTGCTTCCTTTTATTTTTCTGAAAGAAAAGGACTTGTTAGATTTGTAATGCCTCAGTCCCGAGTTAAATAAACAAATTCATTCAACGAATCGGAGAATTTGCATGGTAGCCAGCAGCTGAAACAGTAAAACTCAAGCTGTCTTTTCCTGAATGGGCCAGAGACCTGATGAGAAAGTCTCCAGGAAGCCGGGCTGTACTAGAGACAGGCACACTAGCTAGGCTGCTGGGGTCGAGTTATGATGCCTAATGCACCAGTTCCTGTCAGTGCTTTGTTCCCTATTTTGTAAGGATGGGTACAGATGGGAGGTTAGAAATGGTCCAGATTAGTACAGTTCTACCCAGTGCTTAATGGTAGCACAGAGTTCCGAGTGAGTGTGGTGTACTGGGGTGATACTGAGGTGAGGATTGCTCTCTGGTTTGAGGCACAGTAGCAATTAGACTTAAGTGTATTTTAGAAAGGTGTGTAAATTAGAGGTCTACTTGGAAACAGGAAAGTGTTGAGAGGTTTCTGTTGTGGTTTGGTTTTTTTGTTTTGTTTTGTTTTGCCTATTATCCCGGCCGTGTGTCTTCAGAATTCATCCCAATTCCTAAAATGAGAGACTGCAAACTCACTTCATTTATTTTTCTTTTTGTTCCATCCAGATGAGTTTGCATAGTCCCTGGTGAGCTGCAGCCCCACCCCAGCTGCGGGTGACTCTGGACCAGGCAGGATTAACAAGAATTCTTTTGCATATTTCTCCTTTGTGTCAGTGCAGTTCGGCATGATTTCCCAAGCACTCTTCTGTTTGTAACTGAAAACTGAAGACCCTAAAACACTAAATATTTAGCCTATTGCACATTCAAAGGGTAAGCACCATTTAATTTTCCCTCTCAGGGATTTCAAAATGAAATACTTGTTTTGGATACTCCTTAAAAAATAAAATCTATTTATTCAGCAAGTGTTGGTGGAAAATTTCTGTTTGCTCAAAACAATTTTGTGACTATATAAGGAACAACAAAAATTAGGAGAGTGTTATTTGTGATCTCATCACCGTCAATAAAGCTGCATTCAGTAAGAGCTTAGTAACTAAAGGTGGGCAGTCTTGGAGTATTTTTGGTGACAGCTGGAGTGTTGGTTTTTCTTTGTTTTCACTAAACAAAGTGAAATAACCTCTCAGGAAATAAAATCATATTACCTCACAGACAAATCCTCACCACCTTCTTCTTCTCTCTCACCTTCCCAATAAGCAAATGAAATGTAACCACAATATGGTGGCTGTCATTGAGTTCTTAAGTAGTACATTCAGTGGGGGCCATCTTAGTAACTTCTAGAAAACCTAAATGGTAGCAATGCTTGTCTTAAATGTCTCCACACTCTGTAATCATGTGAAGATACTGGCCCTAAACAGTAACCAGCTGGTGTCATGTTCCCACTTCTGACCAACCAGCCGGGTATCCCAGAGTCTGTGTGACCCCATGTAACCCCCAGCTTCTGTTCAGGTTTCCACTGCATCCCTCATTCTCACACCAACCCGTCCATCCCACCTCGGACACACGGACTTATTTAATGGCACTGATTGTGTGTAAGGCACTCCAGGGTGTATCACAGGAATGACACTGTGCTTGGTGGGCTTAGTGGGATCACTAGAGACTGAGGACATCCCAGGGCACTTCTGGGGTCTCCTGTGATCAGTGTGATATTGATGTGGATTAGATGGTCCATTTCCCCCAAAGAGAACAAACCCAATTCATGGTCCTTAGAAACACAGCAGTCAGCACTGTATTTTTCTTTCTTGCCACATTGACAGGTTAACTTAAGTGACAGTTGCACTGCTCCTTATGCCACCACCAACCTCCCACCCTATTTCAAACCAGACAAGATTCATAAGAACGAAGAAGAGAAGGAGCTTGCCTAAAAGTCTGGATGGATGCGGTCATCTCGGGTGGACCCAGATCTCCTGTAGCTCCTTTCCACGACCCTTTCAAGAAAGTACAAACATGATCTGACTCATCCTGGAGGAACCTTCATTCCGATTTCATCTGGGTATCAGTCACAGCAGCAGAATCGATGGAAACCTTCATAACAGACTCCTTTCTTCACTGCTGTTAGTAGCCTAGAGTAGAAAGATGAAAGAAGCAGCACTGATTACAGTAGCAAACACTTCTCTCCATGCGACGCCTACCCTACCACTGCCGCACACATCCAAGGGAGGGAAGTGCCCGATGACGTGAGGACCAGGCCTTCCCATCGGGCTGCTTTTGCTTTGTGCTGACACTCAGTTTCCTCTACTGTTTCTACATTCGGGAATCTGCATCTTGGGGATAGCTCCACTCTATTAGAGGGGAACCTGAGTAGGTTCCATTTTTGTTGGGCACATTGGAAATGGTCTATATCGATTCCACCCGTCTCCTGTATTACTCTACAAACAAGGGTGCCGGGAGAGGCCTTTGTGTGAGTCTCTAAGGAGAAATTTTCAGAGGCCATCTGCAAGTAAACAATTACTCATCTTCTTCCCCAGTTATCCCCAGATCAAGGAGCTTCTCACACTGCCTGCTCTCAAAGCTCTCTGGCTGCTCACACTGTGATAGGGGTCTATTGTCTCCCTTTCATGGGTCAAAAAGGTGCACACTCCGTCCCCTGTGACACCTTGTCTTTTTCCCTGTAAATAACAGACCCAGACACCTTTTTCAGCTTTGTCTCACCTGGAGCCCTTGCGTGTTTAGAGCATGCTTTAAACATATTCCAGAAAGCTTTAGTATTTGCACAAATCCAGTCTCCACAGACCATCAAGGAAACCCATCCAAACCAACAGTTCCTTTCCCCTCCCCTCCTCTCTCAGACCAGGTCTCCTTTTCCCTGTACCAGGATCCCTCCAAATTCTGCTGTTCCCTCCTGTAGAACAAGGTTGACTGTGTCAGACATCTGTGACTTCATTTTTTGCTGTATGAGGCAGTTCCCTATCCATGCTGGGCAGAAGAAAAAACACACAGAGTCTAAAGGGGGATGAACACACATCGAGTCTTAGTCACCGTGGAGAACGAGGACTCCTGAAGGAGAGGGGGAAGAAGTTCAAATGGCTGTGGTCTGTCCTCTCTGTCTTCTCCCTAAGGTCAATGAAACTTCATAAAGACAGAGTCCAAGCTGAGAAATGCTCTGTTTTTTCACAGTTCCTATGAGCATGCAAATTCTGTAGACAAAAAGAATCCTCTCACTGTTTGGTAGCTCTTTCTTAGACACAGCTCTGCACAAGGCTCATTGCTGGAATATCATCTGAGTAAGTTACTGCATTCCCCTGGAGACAAGAATCGCCAGGAGGCAGCTCTAACACCCAAAGTACACTCATTTTGAGAAGCAGAGCCAACCTACAAAGTGCAATTAAATTAACAACATTTGCTTTTAGCCAGGCTCTGCTCCCTAGGTGCCATGGAGAAAGGTAAATCTAAGTCAGTACTGGGAGCTTAAAAGTGGCCCAGGTTTCTAAGGCCTCTCTTGGAGGTTTTTCTCCTTTTATTTTCCAGCCTTATGCCCAAGATCATACTCTTTTTCTGCTCCGATCCACACTCTGGAAGGTGACCACAGGGATGGCACCTCTGGGCAGCCTTGCTGACCTCTCCTGTGCATTCATCCAGCGCTGGCCGAGAAGGGAGGCGCTAGAGTTTGTGTTTCTGCAACATCCGTGCTTTCTACAGCACCAGCCCTGTTCCCACTTTTACCAGGTTCACATCACCGCCTCGGATGTCTTCTGGTTTGTGCCCACTCGGCCGCCTCTTTTAGAACATGAAGAGCACGCGCCTGCCTTCCCTGCTCCATTCCAGTGTCCAGAACAATACCTGGTAAATAACAAGAGAGCAGTATGTTCTAAGAAACAGAAATGAGTGAATAAATGAAATATCAAACCATCAGGACTTTGTGCTTGCTAGTTCCTATTCACTATAACTGATTTATTTAATCAATAAATACTTGTTAAGCATCTACTTTGTGCAATGTGCTTTCTCTTACACCAGGAATCGTTAGAGAAAAGCAAAATAAAAACCATGATCATAATAACTAGGAATCTTTTCAAACCAGCTGGAATTCAAGTTAGACTGTTAAGAAACATTCCAGGCAGAAGGAGTTGAGCAATGAAGCCTTTACTGTATATTTATTTTTTAAAAGCATCTGATAAGATTAATATCTTTATAATTATTTCATTCTTAAAATTTTTGAGTAATGTGCTTTCTCTCTATATTTGCATAATAATTTAGAAACATGCTAGAGCAAGTTTGGACATTCAGCTAGTAATCATTTCCTCAGTGATTAGGTCATTCTTCATTAGTGATACATAGGTATAGCCAAGCATTACGTGTCGATGTAGGTGTGTACGGAATATATGTATGGAATATATGCAGCATCAGCTTGCTGCATGCTCAGACTCTCAAATGGATTCTTCTTCTATCACCTTACCTTACAGCAAGCTAAGCCATTTTAAGGTAAGGTTCATTCCATTAAATACTGTACTTTGCATGAGCATCCATGTTCCTACTAACACAGCGAAACCTAAGAAAGTAGAACCTATCTGCAGACTCTAAGGCCTTTTTCTGCCCTGAGAACAGGAGACAGATGGTGGGACCCTGAACCCCAGAGTGCCCCCAGAAGCATACTGTCAGGGAGAGGAAAAATCACTCATGGCAGAGTCCTGGGTGATGAGCAGGGAACTCGACCTGGGTTTTCCAGGAGTGTGAGGCTGAAGGAAGAAACAGCAGGTAGCAAATTCTGCTGCAGGAAGCATCAGCCCTGAGTCAGGTGCTCCCACAGAAGCTGACTGCAGTGAGCTAGAGTCTGCCCCCAGGGTGACATGGAGCCACATGCCAAAGGAATGTGGAAAGGAGGGCCAGGAGTGGAAAGCATGGCCACTGGAGGACAGTTTCCCATCCAGGAGGGCACACTTGGAGCAGGGGCAAACCAGTATCATGAAAAATGCAAGAAATGTTAAGTTACTGCCAATTGCCATTATTTCTCCTAAATTCTTACAAAGGAAATTCAGCTCCATGACTCAGTGCCTTTGATGATGCTCAGTGCTCTGCTCCCACCTGCCTTCCCTGACCAAGCACAGAAGAAAGGACATTTTTAGGGGAGGAAGAGCTCTGGACTGCAGAAGGAAACCAAATTAGAAGAATAGGTCTGCCCCAAGAATGCAAGCCCGGGAACCCTCTGTGGCAATGCATGCCATGGCTCCACCCTGATGTGCTCTGCAGAGGATCAGCTGTGGCATGGGGCAGTCATGAGCCCGCCCAAGCTTGGTGTAGAGCCAGGCAGGGTTTGGAGTGACCAGAGCTCAGTCTGTCCTTCTGGCTGCACCCTCAATGAGCTCTGTACAAATAATACCTCTTTCCATTTGTGCAGTAGACAGAGCAAAATTCCAGAGCACAATTTCAGTGTCTGGCCTCCTCCCCTCTCAACCCCTCTATCTTTCCTCTTGTTTGGGCCAAAGACAGAGGGTTTTACAAGGTTTGGTCTAGCCAGTTGCAGCCCACAGAATGCTGGTCACCAGATGCAGAGCCACAGGAGCCCTTTAGGACCACGCAGCTATTGCCTGTGTCACAAAATCACACCCACTAGTACTGGAGCATCTGTGCAGCAGCTGGTGTTGGCTGTTAGACACAGTGCTCAAACCTTCTTGGATTTTCCAGAGGTGCCAGTACTAGGGCTACTATTCTCTAATGAAGAGCCAGTGTGTTTCAAGGGAAGAAAAAGCTCTAATCAAAAAATATCCTGCTGGGTGGAAGAGTATAAGTTAGTAGCAGATTGGACCTGTTTATAGCAAACTCAGGAGCCTCAGGTTGCCTCAGTTGGGCCAAGTTTTCTCAAGTTACCTGCACTGAATTTGGCAGGACTTGGCAAATTGTGCCCAAGTTACCTGTGAAAAGGCAAGACCATCCCCCAGTGTGAAGCTGGACAGCTGTGGTTGTGCCGGGCAGCTGGGCTGCCTGGAAGAAACTGATATAGCAGAGCTCCCTGAGGGGATGGATGGTTTGATCCTAGCCCTGTGCGGGTTGAGTGGTGAGGTAGATGGCGGTGGAGCACAGTGGACTTGGAAAGACTCGTCCGAAGCTCCCGCCTCCTGGACTGCTGTTCATTTCCCTTTAACCATTGCTTTTGCTTTTGTATCTTTGCTTTGTGCTGATTTTCAATGAAAAATTTCTCTGTAGGATAGAAACAACATAAAAGTGGAAACAGGACTTTGTTCTGGGTTCTCAGTGGACACTACGCACCCAAGGGATGCTGGCAAGAAAGACACCCTTTTCTCCTACTCTGTATGCGTGGCTTTGTTCGGCATCCCATGCAGTCTCCTGCCTCAGCTGCACTAGAGGGGGCAGAGACCGTCTAATGTGGAAAATTAGCTCTGCAACTTTCATTTTATGGAACAGTGGTGGCTCACTTTCACACAGTGGCTGGGAGATACATCAAAATCATTCCAGTCCCAAAGGAATGACACCACATAAAACAGCTTCAGAGAGAAGCAATGGGTGGTTTGGGTGAAAATGCTGTCCTTCAGGAAAACTCAGTGACTCTCCTAAGCAGCTCTGTGATGAAAGGAAAGAATCAGAGACTCAAACAAGAGACTCAAATGTTTGAAAACTCAAAAGCATCGCATTATGAATAATAAAAGCAGCCAGGTATAATCCTCTGACTGAAACTGTGCTGAAGATGATGGATTTGACTGCTCTGTTTAGGACACAATGGTGCCTGGGGATGAGACAGGAAGAGTGACTCAGAAAATGAAGACCACGCAGACCCACAGTCAAAAGTCTGTACAAAGACTCATAGCAACGCTGCTCACGTAACTGCTTCCCTTGCAAAGGTTCACGGAGAAGCCAGTGCAGGTAAAATTGTACAGCTCCAGGGATGAAAGTCCAAACGAGCAAACAGTCTGAAAATCCAGACCTCAAAGGTGATGTTAAAGAGCTAATCAAAATTATTACACATTATGACACATTTATTGAGGAAAGAGATAAGTGGCAAGCTGGGATATGGCTCTGCCAAATCCTAGTTCAACTGTAATTATAATTTGACTATTCAGCACAAGGGTTGGGGGGGGGAATAAGTGAAATATTCTCTTGGAATCAATTGGCTATGTAGAATTGACAAAATGAGTATTTAATATTTTGCTCTTATTTATTGTGTGCTACAAACACTTTATACCAACAGTTATAGTAAACTTATGTACAAAAAAATTTTACTTTCTGCTAAAATTCAGATCCTGACTATATAATAATGGGAGCATGGGAAGAAAACTTGGCAGGAAATCAGTTGAGGAGGTATCTTGCTTCTTAGAAATGGAGAAATATAGCTCACCAGTATAAAGCTGAAGCACAGCTCCCACAGAAGATGGTTAAAGATTTGGAGAAATAATTATGAGAAACAATGTTTTCTACTGAAGCTAATTATCTCTCTTTTTTTTTTTGGTCTTTTTCATTTTTACCGGTACCAGGGATCGAACTCACGACCGCCTGCTTACAAGGCAGGTGCTTATGCCACTGAGCTAAATCCCCAGCCCCAGCTAATTATCTCTTATGAGAAAAAAAGTCAAGAAGGTATTTTACAGTTTTCTCAACTAAGAGGAAGCCCAAGGAGTTAACTAGAAAAAAAAAAAAAAGGTCACAACAGACTAAACTGGCAGAAGCAGAGTTTAAATCCTGATCTTCCCAACTTGCCCTGCAGTCCATCCATTAGCACCTCTCCAAACACCCATCCCTGGTCCCTGGCCCTGGGCCTGTGGATTTTTCATGGCAAGAGAGACTTCTCATAATTGAGGTGATGAATCTTGAGGGATAAAGATTATCTTGGGTTAAGCAGATGGGCCCAGGATAATTACTTGAGCCCTAAGTGCAGAACAACTTCTCTAACATAAAGCAGAGACAGCGGTGGAAGAGGAACCCCAGGAGGCTACATGTGTGAGATGGGTTTTATGTGCTATTACTGCCTCTGGAATGTCCAGACACAAAGCCGGAAAGAGGCTTCCAGCAGCCAGTAGAGGCCCCCAGCTGACCAGCAGCAAGTGAACGTGGACATAAGCCATGGGTCGTAGAGCTGGAAAAAACTCACCAGTACCTGGATACACTCCTTTCTAAAAGCCCACCCTGCCCATACCTGGGGAATAGCTCTGTGGTGCCTACAGCAGGAAGCCAACTGAGCCAAGCTGGACTTCTGACCTGAAAACCTGAGATGACAGGTCCATGTGTCTCCACAAGTTAAACTGTGATGATGTGTGCAGCAGAGAAGATCTCATAGCATGAGTGCATGAGCACAGGCCCGAGTGATCGTGAGCACCAGGAAGGATGGGGAATGTCCTGTGAGGACCCCTGGGTGCAGGATCACCCCAGGCTTGACTCCATTTTCAAAGCAACCAACCCCAGCCCACGGAGGTCTGTGTGCATTCTTTTCCCTTAATAGCCGTGTCTGTTTCTCTCTTCTGAGTTGGACTGCTGCTATCAAACTGATCTTACGTACGTTCTTACTGAGGTTGGGTAGAGTTACAATTCCTAAGGTAATATTTTAATGTATATCATTTAAATATTTTTATGTGATTGTCACTTCCACTTCCACGGGCTCAGTGAGTGAGGTTAGATTTTATAAGGATTGCATTTGGATGACAGTAGAAGGCCCATTATTACTAAAATTACAACTGAACTTTGGCATAACCGGATTGGAATGAAAGAATCGTGTCCATATCTTTATCTATGAGCTATTATTAGAAATCTGCAAATGTAAATTTTTATCTCAATATATTTTGATGAGTTTTAAACACACACTGAAAAAAACCCTAAACAACACTTCTAATTAAACTTTA